ATGATGATGATGATGATGATGATGATGATACACTCAGGGAGAAATCCAAATGCAAAATTATACATGTTTGTTTTAGGAAATTCTATTAGCAAAAATGCATTCAGACAAGGAATAGGCCTTAATCAAAAACACCATAAATATATTAAATACTAGTGCTGGGCACGTTAACATGTTATCGTATTAACGCAGCAGACGATTAACGGCAATAATTCTTTTAACGTGCGTTAGTGCTGTAATTTATTTCTTTATATTTCTCTGTCAGATCACTGCTCACTGTTTTTAAAAATGCATTGCCCYTTTTTATATGAAACGATACCTAAAAATGCTCTAAACATCTTGGAATTATAGTTAAATTTTGTGCAGAATAATGAGGTTAATCAAGAAATCAATCTTTTTTTTTCTTTCCAAATGAGTACTACATGAGGAATGAAAGATACATACTGAGGTCCCTGCTGTCAGCAAAAAAAGAAAGAAAAGAAAAAAAAGTGCACAAGATGGAGTGTATAGCAGTATAAAAATGTACACATCCAGCCATAGTAAAGTCATTGTTTCTATAAAATTACAAATTTTAACCTATGCCCAGCACTAATTAAAACATCAGTTGCTTTCATATAAAAACAGAAATGCAAATACTTCTACTTCCGCTGCACAAATAATATCACTAGTAGGGTTGGGCAATATTGGCAAAAAAAATTAATCACGCTTAATTGTGGCATTTAGCCGATAAGGATTAATTTGATGATTAATCCCCTGGAGTCCCTGGACACCCTAATGTCCTGGTCACATGACCAATTTAGTGGGAAAGATTTGCTCTTCATAAAAATCTGTTCCAAATTGTGTCAAAATTACAGACTTCAGGCTCTACATCAAATTTTAAATTGTGTTGATAGATAAATAAATTACAGAACTTTTTTTAATGTTCATCATATTTGAAGTGGAGAGGAGCAGCGAGCAGACTCTGCCTGCTGGCATTTATCATATTAATCGTCAAGTGCCAAAAAATAAATCGATTAATGTTTTTATGACGATTAATTGCACATAATAAGAGCATGTCCAACCCTAATCACTAGGGTTGCACAGATTGCAGTTTTCTGGCCGATCACTGACCTTTAAAAGTCTGACCTGTCGATTCCTATTTTTTAAATAGCAGACACTGTCAGGTGCTGTAAGGTCACAATACACCATCAATGTTCCAATCTTATTTTATGGACAAATAATGAACAATACCCTCGAAACAGTACAAACTTGCTTTAACTGGACATTAGGTAGTGCTCACAGCAGAGCAAAAGTGGACAGTGGCAGATTTTCAGACCTTTGTGGAGGTAGAGAAGCTGATCTGTTCCACCGATTTTATCCAAGTATCGCCTGACCTCCCAAAATTAAGGAAGTTGGTGCAGATTTATCAGCTGGTTGATTTATCGAAGCACACCTGGATATCATGCCAAATAAATCGACACTGCCAAAAAACAAGTCACCACCTGGATTTAACTAAGCAAACCGTTATGAGCCTCCTGTTACTGTAGATAATTACTGCATATTTAACCCAACTGGAGCAATGAGTTGTTTCTCATGTAGAAAGACACATCCTGTGGTTGTGGAAAAGATGTCAGTCTGTTTGAGAA